ACTCAAAATCATTATTAAAAATCACGATTAAGTAGAACTCAAATTTTAGATTCCAACAGTATGTATTAGAATTTTGAGATTCCATTTAGATTTTCTAGTATAAAATTTGGAAATAAAAGAAAAACATGTATTCTAAAAATTGGGATGTTACAATTTGACATCTAGTTTATTATTTTCCTAAGATAATATTGTATATTATTAAATAAATTAATATTTTATATAGTTATTGTTTCTTTTATAAATAAATATATTGTTATATATCCTTTCAAACTCAATAAAAATATCGATAATTATAGTTTTAATATTTACTTTCCACTAATTTATCTAATCTTAAATTTTACTATAATAATTGAATTCATGATTGTTGATTTATACTGATGTATCTATACCCTATACTATCATGTGAGAAATCCCCAAGAGTAAGGGTATGTTGTTCAAGACTGGTGCTCAAAGTGACAAAGGCAAGGAAATTCTTTAGAAAGGGATGTTTGCGAATATATCATAAGGAATATAATGATATGAGAGACATGTAACAACATGGTACCTTGCACTTGAAGTTACAACTTGGTAAAGTTGAGAGATGAAGGCAAGGGGTCTCACACTAGTGGGAATACCTTGGGGGTAAGGTGTCGGGTGGCTAAGAAAACTAAGGTCAAGGAAGCACCTTGTACTAGAATCTCTAGTTAACCAACTTGACAACCCCGACAATTGCTCTAGCATTCCAAGATTGGTGAGAAAGTATACGTCAAATTTGGACAAGGAAGTGTCCCATTGATATATTGAGATTCATTCGATGTATGAAATCGTAACATTTATGGGTCAAGATGTATGTACTTTCGATAACTTCCAAAATGAGGTAGTGTGGATCCATAATTTCTCGGTGTCAAGTAAGTACGACTAAAAAAAATTATAGTTCCGACCTATAGATTCATGTGTTTGATGGTAATTGTTCTTACCTTCATATTTAATGGAGTCAATGTCTAGTAAGTGTAACTAGAACTAATTATAGTTTTCTCCATAAATTCTTGTGTGTCTTAGGGTAAATATTGTTGCACATATATGATATTTCAAAACCATTTTTAAACAACAAATATCGTTACCCTCGATATATATAACTTGAGATTATTAAATCCTTTTTCCTTTGTTTCTCTTTCGTGCATGCACTTGATGAATATATGTGAAGATAATGACCAAACATAGTGATTGAATTGATCTAATAGTATGAGTATGGAGAATATTGTGAAGACCATCAAGAAGATATGATGCATAAAGACTATTTACACTTATACTTATGTTTGGGGTAAGATATGATTTTTGTAATGCTCTAATTAGGTTTTATGATGTATGAGTGGGAATAGCTAATACGTATTTTTACATTATATATTTTTTTAATTAAAAATCATATTTATATCTAAGAAGATTATGATTCTTTATATTTTATGATAAATATTAATAAACTTGAAAAATTTACCCTTATTTTTATAACAAATAAGTGAATAGTTAATAAGAGGTTGTGTTTGATGTAATAGGATGTTACATCATCAGGTTAAATTTGTAATTTTTTTGTTAACCAATTATAATTAAATTGAGTAATAGGGTAAAAGGTTTGTTATCCAATGAATCAGAACCAACTTGACCTATAATAAATTATAAAATAAAATTAAAAATATTATACACAATATAACACACACATGATTCACTCCTCTGCATTATTGACTCACTTAATTTGAATTGAGTGAGATTCACTTAACTTAAAAAAAAGAAAAAGAAAAAAAAGTTCACAAGTGGACGAGACCCGACCCATTTAGTGAGTTGAAGTAGGCAAGTAGCAAAGGATAAGGCACTTGCGATAAATTTTTGTTTTAAAAAAAAACTTGCAATGATTTTCTGCTTAGCTACAGAGCGCAGCTGGTTGTCTCTTATAACAGATTTATGTTTGTAGTGGAGTACACGTGTACGGCACTGCCCCTAATCCACTATTTCATATTTCTTAATAAACAAACAAAAAGCACCCAATAAAGGACACCACTATCTGATTTACAATATCTTTTACCACTAATTTTAACTAAATATAATTAAAATGCTTAAACACAGCAATGTTTTCTGTTTAATCAGGACTATCATTATTTGTGGTGGTAATTAAAATTACTACAATTTTGTATGTTACTCAAATATATAAGTACGTATATAGTAGTTAGAAATCATATTCGGAAAGTGATACTGGAATAAGTTCAGAGATTATTTAAATAAAAACAGCTTATGAGACGTTCATTGAGGTTTGTAAATTTACAAAAATGTTGCATCAAAATTTGAACGTTACGCTATGCCCTTATTTATAATAATATTTTTGACTTGTGCAGACATGTGTGCGTGATGTACGTGTTATGGGGAAACAAAAGTGGAGAGCTATCTGCATCATGATGAAATGAATATAAAGAAGTTTGGTGTTATATTCCAAAGTCGAAACTATAATGAATTTATTCATAATATTTTAATCAAACAAGTTTAATTTGGAATTTATCCATTTTAATCAAAGACGTTCGTATGTTGAGTAATTTAATTTTTTAATTTGTTATATCGGGTTGATCTGAAAGTTAGATAAAGACACAGTTAACGTAGTTATTCTCTTAGGCTCTTTTATTTTAGTATCATAATAAAAACGGGTATAGCAAACACGAAATGGAACATGTATTGTGTTCTGTTATTATTATGTCTTTGTTACGTAATATTGTCCGAAAGTTAGCAGCATTAGGTTCGTTGATTGGAGGGGAGGGATAGCAAATGATTCTACACCATTGAAACTTGTTTTCCTTGTCATTTCTCATAACTTGATTTCCACTTTCTGCTGAATTCCTCTAAGTCTCAAATGATTCTACACCTAATAGGTGCATGATAAAGTTAAACATCCAAATGACCAAGAATTATTAAAATTAGAGATGAAATCCACACAAATATTCTTTTATATTAAAAATTAAATTCATCAATAAATATCAATTTCAATGATTTCATTAAAATTCCTTTTTTTATTTTATATAAGACTTAAATTCAATTTATTGATAGTATTAACTATGTTTTAGTTTCTCTGCATAGAACAATCTTTTATTTTTAATTTCTGAAGAATATTTTTTATTTCATATTTATTTCTTAAAATATAGGTTAAATCATACATTTAATCGCTCTATTTTTATTAATATGTAATTTTATTTTCTTTATTTTAAAATAAAGATATTTAATTTCTTTAATTTTAAAAATATAAAATCTTGGTTTCCTATTAAATTGATATTTATTAATTGTTAAATTTTAATATTTATTAATACTTAAATAATATAATATTTAGTAACATGATATTTTAAAATAAAAAAATTAAAAAAACTCACATAAATTTTTTATTAATTAAATAAATATTAATTACTCGAAAAAAATAGATACAAACATAAATTTTTTGTTATTATTATTATTATTATTCTTATATGTTACATCAATTAATATAACATCACTTAAATAATGACAAATCATTAAAAAAAAATGTCAAAATTTAACGATGAAACTAATATTAAATTGATGGTAAAATTAAAATTTTATATTTAAAATATAAAAAAAATTAAATATCTTTATTTTAAAAAGACTAAAATTACAGATTAACAAATAGAAAAGCTAAAAATATAATTTAATATAAAATATATTAGATGTAATTTTAATCTTTCATAAAATATATTTTTAATCATATTATTAATATGAGATATTTACTAATAACGAAAAATTTAAGCGATGAATGATCTTCCTTTCTAACCATGTTATTTAGACTCACGAGTTTAATATTACTTGAATTAATAATGTAAATTTTTTATCCTTTTATTTTAAAAAAAATAATAATAACTACTTGCATTAGATATTTTTATAAATAAAATCAATTTTTAAATATTAAAAACAAATATCATCATATTTATAGATATTATATTGAATCTTTTGATAAACATATACTCTGAAATTATATACAAGCAATTTTTTAAGTTAAATAAATTTTAACTAACTTAATTTTATATAATATTATTAATTGAAAAGATAATAAATAAAAATATTATTTACAATCAATGTAATTAAGGTTATTTCAATAAAATAATATATATTTTATACGAAACTCTGAAAATTAAATATATTTAATTTTCTTTCTTAATTCGAAAGAAAGTTAAATAACTAAGTATTTTAATCGAGAATAGTTATTTGGGTGTTGATGTGGTCCCATGGAAACTCGAAATTTGGGAAAACCTTGCCTATGATGATTTAATTAGGCCTAAAATGAGCAGCGTGTCAAAAATGGCAGTGCGATTCTGGTATCTGGAACATGATTTCTGTTAAAGGTAAAATAATGAATTCCCACATCTATAAAAAAAAAAATTCTCAAAACTCCTACACCATACACCCTTCCATTACATACAAGAAAAATGACAAATCAAACTAAAGCAGAAAAAAAATTAAAGTAACCTTCACATCCCATCCCTCATCAATGCTCTTCCTCTCTCTGCCTCTGGTGCACCTTTACGCAATCCCATTATACCCTCCATCACCCCCTTCTTCTTAATAAACCCTCTTCTCTTCATTTTCATATATTCTCCATTATTATATTCTATCTTCCCTTTTTTTTTTTTTAATTTATTATTTATAGTTTTTGCCCATTCATTCACCCCGGTTTTCTCTGTCACTATCTCATAACACTCCTTCAAACCCTTCTGCACAACCCCACTTTTCTTCTTCCTAAAGCTTCCAAGTTTCGATTTTTCCCAAAAATATCGACACCCCACAAAAAATAATACGAGAATTACTACGCCACCTTTTCTGGGTTACATTCGTAATTTTCGTTTCTCCACTTTTCTATGGGTAACATTGGAAGCAGCGGCTCCAACAGCCGTCGGAGACACGGCGGCGGCGGCGGAAGCGGGAGGCGGATTC